TTTTTGAACTGACGTGTTGGAGACTTGGAGTTCCATGATGCGTGGATTTCTCCGTTCCCCTACCGACCGGGGCGTCTAGACAGAAAAGAGAAGGGCAATAATAAAGAAGAAACAAAGGACTGAAAAGCAAAACCCTAGCTCTTCGGGCACCTATGGTGATGGCGACAGCGACGGCGATCTCCGGCCGCGTATCCGGCGAGGCCAGCGCAATCCTCGCTCCTTCCGCTATGTCCCTCTCCGCGCCGGTCCGACGCGCCGCCAACTCCAAGGTCATCCTCCCCATCCCCATTTCCCTCAAAACCCTAATCTCTATGCTAAGTGCCTGTCGATTGCTACACACCACAAAATCAGAGCTAAGAGCTTCTCTCTGCTTCCGCATCGATTTCTTTCATTGTCCTTGGGAGTCTGTTTGAATTTATGACTGGCTCCATGGAAGATCAGTTGTAGGCGCGGCCGCGAAACCTAGTGGGCTTGACATCTTCAATGTTGTGTCGATTCGGTTGGTGATGCAAGTAAGCTGCTGGGCATGTTAGCAGTGGCTAGGAGCGTCAACCATGGTTGCAAAATCTGGTCATCCAAAATTTTGTGCTTTCCATCTCTTGTCTGATTTGCGTTTCTCGCCCTTTTCAGCTTTGTACTTCTTGTCTGTAGTGTGTTGCTTATTTCATCTTGTATAAGCACTATTAAAATGCCTTCTGGACATCACATTTAGTATACTGAAATATGTTCAGATCTACTCTCTCGGGTTGGAAATGTAGGGACTAGTTTGACTGCCCAAGTGTGAGCTTTGACCATAAATTTCGTGAACAATGTTTTGTCAACAGTTATAAAATTACAATCATAAGAAAGTGATATAGAGTACAAATGCAACAGTATCAATTTTGTATAACATCACTCACATTTATTGGATTAATTATTTGAAAAACCTTGAACTTGGACAGTCAAATTACGCCCTATGATTTCCAAAATAGTTGGACTGTCAAATAATGTACTCCCTCCTATCCATATTAATTGCCGCTGCTTTAGTATAACTTTATACTAAAGTTGCTAAAGCAGCGACAATTATTTGCGATCGGAGGGAGTACTATATTTCCGAAGGAGGACTCCGTCAGTACTTGGTAGACAATCTAGAGAGCATGTGTCTAGCCACCCAGCACCTTCCTCCTAGCTGAGTATGGATGCTGAAGCGCTTGCAAGGAACATAAAATGAAGAACTTAATGATTTAGGGAATTTGGTTTATTAACTTTATGGCACGCATGAGAAACAGCACACAGTAGAATGTTCTTGTCTACAGAAGTAGAATGAACAATCCTGAGGTTTACGGATCTCCAGATATGATTTATTTACTCAGTTATGATTCTTCTGTACCAGTATTGCCATTGCTTTGCTCAATTGGGCCTTTTCCTTTTAGAGATGCACATCCTTCATTTTTGTTGTTGCAGAAATGCAAATGTGTGTTTACATGCCTGTCTGTTATATCTACCCTTATGTGCTGCTTTATACCTGTTTACAGATACTGGCCATGTTATGCACCCTGGTAATCCTGTTGTTGCATAATTTTGTTGAAAAAAAATCAGTATGACATAAGGTATTGGCTGTTGATCCTACTAGGGGTGATCATGTGTGTGCTGCAGAGATGCAATCATAGGATCTTGATGCTGAATATACTAGGATCCTTACAAAAGCACAGTTAATCAAACACTCGTTTGTGTTTGGTCTTGCTCACCCATGCATGGTGTTTCTTCCTACCATAGTCCTTTCTGTCCACTGAAATTTTTAAATTGATTATTTTGTGAAGTTCTGTTTTCTTCTGCCTTGCATTGCATGCATGACCGTGCGATGCAACATGATATAAATATTCTAGTACGTTAGCCCATGATTTACCTGCCCATATTAATGTCATAGTGTAAATGTTTATAAATCATGCCCGTGATTTACCTACCTAAATAAAAATCACTTATTTGTTAAGAACTTATTAGCTTAGCAAAGAAAACATAATATTTTATCTGGTAAGTCAATAAAAGGTGGGACAGTTAAGACGGTTTTCAAGGAAAATCGGTGAAAAAACCAGAGATAGGAGGAAAAAAAAAAGAAAAATGCAGAGAGGGAAGGGAGGAACATATGTAAGGTTGGATGAAGCACTCTGCTTGGCAGGAAAAGGGACGCTATTCTTTTTTGAAGTAGTAGAGATAGAGACTGACCTATTTATATAATTCCGCAGGGATGCTTTCGTGCTTTTCCTCGTGTTGCATCTAGCAAGCTCATGCTTACACCAGGACGACTATGCATTGAGCGCCAAAGCTGTCCACGGATATCTAGTGCCTGCTCTGCTCTTTCAAGGCGGGACTTCTCTCCTGTTACTCAAGACATGGAAGGCTTCCTTCACAGTATTGTTAATATGGGATTTCTTGACCGTCTGAAACTGGCTTGGAAGATAATCTTCCCAGCACCAACCATACATGAGAACACAAATGCAAGTATTGCAAAGCAGAGGCTGAAGATGATTCTATTCTCCGACAGGTGCGAGGTCAGTGACGAAGCAAAGAAAAAGATAGTGGAAAACGTTGTTGAGGCACTATCTGAATTTGTCGAGATTGAATCACGTGATAATGTACAAGTGGATATCTCGACTGATGCTGGCCTTGGCACAGTGTATTCTGTGACTGTTCCAGTGCGCCGTGTAAAGCCTGAGTACCAGGAATCTGAAGAGCAGTACAGAGGAAAAATCGTTGGTGTTGACTTCAAGGATACTGGAGAATCATCTGGTAATGTTGATGTCACCTTCGATTTCTATGTTCCGAATGAGAACCACTGATTCCTTGACCTAGCGCGCTATGTTGTGTTCCTTATCGCCTCTTGAGACTCCTCAGGTAGGATGCTAGAATTTCACTTCTGATGTAAATATCTAGGCTTTTCTTTCATTTGGTGTTTCATGTAATTTGATTTTAGAATTTTGTTCATGAGGTGGCAGACATGTGTTGCCAGATTCTTGAAATCATATTTTCCACTTGTGTTGTGTTATTTGGTGAAGTTACATTGTGCCAAGGATTTTCTCAGTTATATCCAGCTGCCCCTTCCTAGTGTGTAATGTCTTTGGAGGGTAGCATGCGACCAGGATACAGAGCCTTTTTTTTTTTTGAAACGAAGGCAAAAGATTTGCCTCATCCATTAAATAAGCAGAAGAGAGTTGCCGTGGAAAACCATGACAAACCGTTGAGAGGCACACACACAAGATACCCACACACGTCACTCCAAAGAGGGCGATGTCGAGACAATACAACAACGTCATCGTCATCACTTCTCCCCTAGAGGCGTCATTGCCATCCCACACTTTGAGAAATGACTATGACTTTGCCAAAGACGATCGTCGAACCAACCCACATTGAAAATGATGTGTGGAGTGACATGAAGATCCACGCCAAACCTTAGCCACCACGACAAGATGCGCTCCGACGCCGACGGAAAGCTACGAAGGAGAACCAGGCAAGGCTGGCGTCGTGGAAGATCATCGAATAGACCACCTGCTACCCGTCATCGTACACCATAGGGCCCCGCCACCGCAGCTTCGACGTCAAAGCAACAAACCAGCCGAGGCCATCCCACATCAGCCAAAGTCGCGTCTCCTACATCGTCCCTCGTGGCACCATTGTCATAGAAGCCTCAGTGACAACTTCATCACCTCCCACTGGTCCCGCTTGCTGATGCCCAGTTACAAAGATGAAGCCCTCGAGAGGGGATACGTCGCCGCCATCATCCGATCGCTCGGGGTCTAGGGTTTCCCTGGAGTTGCAGCGACGGCCGGATCCAACATGGGGAGGGTGCAAGAGCAATGCCACGATGCCTACAGGAAGGTCTACGACGCCCAAGGCCGACATCATCACTGGTCAAAGGCCCACGGAGGAGACAAGGTTTTCACCCAAGCTACTATCGCCCGTAACCGCACGTCAATCCGGCGTCGGCAAGACCACCAGCCACAACCTCCCACAGACAAGCAAGTCGGCGAAGGACCGAGCAGCCACTGTAGCCAACCGTACCTCGTGGAGCCCCGACCTCCACGCATCAGCGGCACCCATAGCCGTCACCGGAGCCGATAGATCCGTCACACGGGACTCACCTCGGACCTCCATGAGTCGGCATCGCACACCCACACCTCTTCACCTACCAGGCTACCGAGAGCCCCTGCACGCGGGCGGCCCAGCCGACGGGGCCTCGCCGCCACACCACGGACGCGAGCATCCTCGCCAGCGCAACACATGAACCCCTGCCGATTCGGGCAGCCCGCGCCAGCCAAATCCGAGCGAGAGGAGGGAAGGGCCTCGGCGACGCCCTCCGACGACGACAAGGGGAGGAGGAACCGGGGCTGTGGCGCTGGGGTTGGTGGCTTGGTTCGCTCCCAGGCCACCCGCGGGAGCGACCAAAGGAGTTTTTTTTAAACGCGGTCCTTGCCTGATTCACTAAAAAAGGTCGAAGAGAATTGTTTGGTTAATTATTGAAAAACCGGGCGAAAACCGTCACATCACGCTCACAAAACAAGGCACATAGGGCGACCTGGCAACCCACATGTTGTCGAGGTTGCATCCTGGCGTCATGGTCATCACGCCTTCGCGAGATTGACTCTAACTCCACCATCGACAACCATCGAAGAATCCCTCATCACAAACAAGCATCGAGGCCTGCGCCGGCTAATGCCAAACGGTTGGCCACACACACCAACGACCAGGCATCTCCTACTCTATCGACGAGCATTGTAGGAGAAAAGCTTTAGGCTTGTGTTGAGCCAGCGCCGAAACCGACCACGCGCCTCGTGTCATCGTCACCACCACCAGATCCTCCTCGATAGCTCTGACTTCATAGAAACAAAGTGATGAATGGCAACCCCTCAAACACGCCGAAAAGACCGATTAGCAGGGCACAACAACACCCCTAACTCCTCCCAAAGCCGCCATCGTTGCCACATACATGAAGCCGCGCAAACATCCGCATTGTCGGACGGGCACCTGCCAGCCGCAATGCCGCGAGCGTCCAACCCATGGAGCGCGCAAACGGAATCTGAAGCACTTCAAGGCGACGCCCCAAAGAGGGAAGCAACGATGTCAACGCCATCGCCCGACCCAGCCAGGCCTGATACTTCCACCCGAACAACAAGATCCGAGGGTGTAGGAGGATGCAGGACTCCACGACGACACCTCCAAGGAGGTTAAACGACGCCCATAGACGCTGATGCTGCCGACTGGCAAGACCGGACAAGCTTTTGCCCGGAGCAATCCAACACCACCAGCACCCTCACGCACATCACCCTTGTTGGCACACCCACCTCTCGCACAGCCACCGCGCGGGAAGCAGTAGAGAGCTACCAAGCAGCACAACTCCTCGTCGGGCAGACGCCACTGCGCCGGAAGCACTGGGGAGCTACCAAGCAGCACAACTCCTCGTCGGCCAGACGCCGACGAGCCAGATCTGGCGTCCCACCACCGCAAGCGCCCACAGAGCAGGAAGGGGGCTGCACCCGCCCCTACTTGCCGGAGAAGAACATTCACCCGAAGATCAATAGCCCACCAACGAAACTACCAAGGCTGCCTCCTGCGAGAGCCACTGCTCGAAAGCTGCCACACTGGAGAAGAGTTGCTGGGAAGAAGCCCAGGACTTGCTGGCGATGCAGTCGATGTCGTGGTTCTAAGACTGACAGTAGAATAGGGGGTAGGAATGTAGAGGCAAGATCCTAGCTATGGAGGAGTTGTACACACGAGTTTACGAGTTCAGGCCCTTCTCGGAGGAAGTAACAACCCTACATCTCGGAGCCCACAGGCGGTCGACTGAATATATGTCTGTGAATTACAAAAAGTGCGAACCCTTGTCCCAAAGGAGGGGGGGTGGCTTATATAGAGTGCGCCAGGACCCCAGCTCCCCTCCGTTACACAAGGTTCAATGCTCATAAAGGAGGGGTGTTACTGGTAACGTCTGCAGTAAAGTGTTATAAATGCCCATAAAGCTATGGTTTAAGTCCTGACCGTTGCAGAGTGGAAGGTTTCTCATCTTCTGGTGGTCGAGTGTCTTCAAGGTGGTCGAGTGAGCACATCTTCACGGTCGAGTGGATGATGGTTTCTCTTCGACTGCTTCTGATTCTTTGTAGAGATGTCCTTGGGGAGGGTATGTTGGACAGATCCATGACTCTACCCTAGGTACATAGCTTCATCATTAGCCACCGAATGGATCAGGGTTTGAGTGAGGAAGGAGTTGGGAACACTTCCGACCCATTCTTTGTGCTATGAGTATATCTTGTTCTGGAACAGTGAGTCGACGGGACGACGTCGACTCCTTTGTCAGTCGCCTTGGTCCATTCTTGGTTTTTGTCAAGTGAATTTTCACAATAGAATTCCGAATGATAACGTAGAGGATGTTTGTCTTCAGTCTGGCAAGTTGCTCTACCCTTCGCGGATTCTGCGGGATTCAAATTTTGGGAAGTGCGCCAGGCGGGCGGAACCGTGGTTATCGGGACGGATTAGGCAAGTCTCCTCGATCTCTGCGCCACCTTTTTCGCCACGTACCGCGCGCGCGACTGTTGCGGGATTTGTTTAGATCGTCTGGGTCCACCAGTCAGCCACTCAGGGAACGACCTAATAAAAGGCACCGGACTAGGCCTCTGCCCCGTGCGCTCTCATTCTCTCTTCTTCTTCCCCCGATCTCTCCGCCACGCTCGCTTCCGCCCTCATCGCCGGACCTTTGCTCGAGCTCGACCCGTCGCCATGGGGAAGGAGAGGACGGTGGCGTTGGAACGTGCGAAGAAGGCGACCGTGAAGGCGAAGGGCAAGCGGACCAGCCGAGGCGGATCCTCATCGAGATCCGGCCTGCCGGCGGGCTGGATCCAGGGCGACTGGATCCGCTCGGAAATCACCCAAGACGACCTCGACGACCTGGTGGAGGGGGGACTTGGCTCCTAGGGAACGAGACCGAGCCACAGCCAAGGGAGAGTGAGTGTGTTCTCCTCGCCACCCGCGTAGATCGTGGATTCTCACTGCCTCCCCATCCTTTCTTCCGGGTTTTTTTAAACTTCTTTGGGGCTCAGCTCCACCATTTCACTCCAAACACCATAGTCTATTTGGCTGCTTTCGTGTCGATATGTGAAAACTTCTTGGGCTGTCGACCGCACTGGGGGCTTTTCAAACACATCTTCACCTGCCGCTCCCAGTCGGTCAAAAAGGCCAATCCGAGTGACGAGAGGACACAAGTGATCCAAATGTGCGGGGGTCTGGGGATCCAGATGAGGAGCAAGAGTACTTTCCAAGCCATGATTCTTCCCGACTCGGTCCGGGGCTGGCAGTCGACTTGGTTCTACTGCAAGGATCGGCCGACCCCGGGTCAGTCGACTGGACTTCCTCCCTTTTCCTTAGCTCGAGTGGAGAAGCCTGCTCCCCTGAAGGTGGTTCCTGAAGAGAAGGCACATGTCAAGGTGCTGGTCGAGCGGGTCGTCCAACTCGTCTGTGACGGGGTGACCGGGATGGACCTGCTGGAGGCCTTTCTCGGTCGATGCATCCAACCGCTTCAGGCGCGTGATCATCCGATGTGGATGTACTCCGGGCTCGAGGACTCCACTTGGATCCACCCGGAGGACGTCAGTGAGGACACCTTGGAGAAGTGGTTGATGGGGATCACCAGCAACAAAGACAACCCTCGGGGGTCTAGGAGGGTGATTCCATTCGACAACTCGCATCAGCTGGAGCAGGTGTGATTATGTTTTACCAAGTATCTTTCCGATTCACTGTGTGACATCTTGTTTATGGTCGACTGAATTTCCTTTGATCGTTGTCTTTTCAAGCC